TACGAAATAAAAGCTGGGTTTCAAAAAGTCTCAATATAATTTTTATATGAAGATAGGAAGACCAAGATTCTAGGTCCTCTGGTATGGTCGCAGTCTCCTTTCGATTTATAGAAGTGGGTTGAGGGATTGACTCCACTTGTTTCTTTGACGACTTCTTAGCCTGGCGCGGAAAATGGCAAAGCTCACTGATGATGCCGGCGAAACGTTTGTGAATGTACCAAGTCGACTGTCTGATGCTGGGAATCAAGACAACTACTATGGCAGACGACTTCGGACTAGTTGCGTTCTACCAAGTTGCCCTGATAACAAGACCAAGTTGCGATGGGGTCAACCCGCTTGTATAGTTTAATATGATTCAGCTTCTTATTTGTGAAATATTGATTGGTATGGTTACGTGAATTGGTCGCCACGGCAGCCCAGTGGGTATTGGCTTGGGATGGAGTTTGATGAATTGTGCACACAAGTCCTCTGTTCACCGTCCTGCCACCCCGACGAATCTGGGCTTAGCTGTCGTCTGTCTCGCCGTGATAGCGTCATCGTCGGGACGTGGAGGAATGCTGGAAAAAATCAAGATGGCCGGCTGCCATTCTACCCACGTCTCAAATCCTAAGTTGCTCCACTTAAAGAAGAGCCATCGAATGCTTTTGTTTTGAGGCGTATTCCATGTCTTGCCTAGAAACGGCACTCGAGTGAGTGAAATGGGTGCGGATGAGGCGTGAAGAGGACACGTCTGAGGGAACAGCTGCGGCGACAACAGGATCACGTGTAACCTTGATTCCGCACTGTTGATGCGTTCAAATTCGGTTGCCGTCCGCGTTCATTCGGGTTGTGTCTGCTGGCGATAGTCCTCATGAGCCGGCGCATGTGTTCGAGGCCTGACCGGACAGGCTGCGCAAAGAACACGACTCAGACGGTGCCGATTGGTGGGCCCTTGGGGAGAGCGCTGATAGGCCGAGCCGCACGCCCGGGCCGGGCATGTCTGCGAGCGGCAGCAAGTGGCGCCAACCCTGGTCAAACGCGTCGATGCGTTTCAATTGACAGACTTCAAAGTGGACCCAAATTGCCGGTTACGAGCAGGAGGCGATGCATCGCTGCCTGACTGGCGGGTGCAGTCAAAAACAGACTGAATAAAAGCTTCCGTAGAGCTTGGAAGGCTCCAGACACAGGCAGGAGCCAAAGCGAAGAGAACTCTTAGCAAAGAATAAGAATTATGAGAAGAAGGCGAAGTAAAGGACGACGAAAGAGGTAGAGTGGAATAAGAAGAAAAACAAGAAGGATAAGGAGAGGGAGGAAGGGAAAGGGGAAAGGAAGAAGCAGAGGAGGAGAATAGAATGAAGGAGGTGAATGAGAATCGGAAGCTCGACGGAATGATGGACTCTGCGAATCTTCCGGTAATGCTGAGTTAAGTCGAGTCGAGTCGAGTCGAGTCGAGTCGAGTCGAGTCAAGTGCGAATGGGCCCAAGCCCGAGAAGTTTCAGACCCGGGTCGATAAAATAGAGTGAATTGTTTGACGCGTAGAGGCCCACTCAACCGCAAAAAAATTGTAGCGCCAGGTCCGCCGCGCGCTCGCGGGCCGGCGGCATCGTCGCAGCGGCCGCCGCGGCATTCACGTCAAGACAATTCGTGTGTAGTAGGCGCAGGCAGGGCCTATCGTCTCACGAGGCCAGTGTCTGTCAATTTCCGTGTCAATGTCAGCGCCAGCGGCTGTGCGTGTATGCCGGAGGCGTGCGCATGGCTAAGTCAGACGGGCAGGCGATGCGTCATCCGAGGCAAACCTTTCAGCAGACGCCGTAGCGCCCGCCGAAGCGTATGCAAATGGGCGTACACACAAACAGTGGCGTGCCGGCTGAGACAACCGCTGAGGAGCCCGGGCCTGGGAGCGCGGTCGAGGCGAACTGGGAGCCTAAGCCAGACTAGACTGGCCCGACGTGGTGGCGGCAAAGTGCAGAGGAAAGGGAGGGGGAGGGGGAGGGAAAGGGCTGGGGGCGCCGGTGCAAACGAGCTTCTGCGATGAGGCGGCTGGTCTGGCCTGGAAGAGGGCCAACGA